GCAGGCAAATGGGTTGAAGGAATGAACGTAAGCAAAGTATACATAGACCATCATATTAGTAACATTGTGCAAAAGGACGCTTTCCATCTGAATATTATTTTGCTTGTTCTGGCGTACCTTAATATTTTATCTAATTTCAATATTTCTGACCACCCAGGTAATCAGAGATGTGATTGGTGTACACATGGAAGAACTTAACACTCATTGGCAGGAGGAGAATAGAAATATTGGGGTTCAAGAAGATGAAAAGTCATCTTTTTCAGCAAAGTCTTCAGGAAGGTATGATTATCATTGCCAAATTTTTGCTGTTTTCTAAGTTGGTAGTAACTTAAGAAATTGTACTTTTTGGTCCTCTGAATTCAAATGAAACTGGAATTAATGACCTGCAGATTAGGTCTGCATATCATGGTATTGTGCTATACCCATTGTCCAATACAGTTTAGTTTCACTCTTTCCAATGCCTATTTCCTTTAGTGATGTTACTGATTTTATATTTTGTAAAAGTTGTAGAACATCTATTCTTTCTTCCTTTGTTACTTAGAACGGGATTGTTGGCCAGTTATTGACAATAGATAAAATTGTCATTTGATAGTTGTGAAATAATCAGAGAGGTTAAGAATGCATTTGTGAGAAGCAAGGTTTTATTTAAATATTGTGTCATGGTGAGTGGCAGAAGCAGGTTGTGTTTGCAAAGCACAATGACATTCAGAAAGCAGAGTTAAATATCACAGTTGTTAAAAATAATGGCTTTCTCCTTGCATTATTTTACAGAAAGATTTTACATAATTCAAATTATATTAGAAACACAACTTTATTCACTGTCTAGTTTCCTAAGCATTGTCATCTTTTAATGAAAATACAACATTCAAATGAAAGTATGGAGCAAACAATACAGTAGTAGACATTTCCCTTTATTTCCCATTAATTCTGGTGCAGCTGAGATCGGACAGCAACGGTGAAGCAGTAATTTCAGCTGGGTTACTTTTTGAAGTCCAGTCCCTCTTACATGATTCTGTGCAGCTAATTATTTTGCCATTAGTGGCAATTTTCACTGAGAGAAATTAGCATTCATTCCCTCCCTCAACATTAATGACCACTGCTACGACATAATTACTGTCTTTTCTTTAGTAAAGAAGAGCGAAGATCTGCATCAGTTGATTCAAGACAGTCTTGTGGAAGTTCAAAAGATACTGATTATTCTCGACATAGGCGGAATTCCAGCAGAAGTCCAGGCAGACGGAAAAGAAGTCGAGAGAAAGAAAGAGAGAGAGATTCCCGAAGGAAAAGAGATAGGTAAGTAGAGTCTTTGATTTCTGACTTGTGTCGAACTAGAGTGATATTACATCACAGACTGGGATTGTAGGACATGCTTAAACCTTGTTTACAATCAATGTTAATTTGTAGGAGAGAATTTCACAGTGATTTTCATCCAGCTATTGGCTTTAAGTCTTCCTATACTTACCCAAGAAGATATTAAATCAAAAGATGTATCAAATTAGTAATGGTACCAGAATCAATTGTAAACTCAACCATATACTTTTTAAAAACAAAAGTTGATTTCATAATAATCAGCATAATCTAAAAGAAATAACAATATGGAATTCTATATATCATAATTTCTCCTATTTCAGAGCAAGTACTAAACAAATCATGACATAAAACAATTTAAAATAAAACAAATTACACTTGGTTTCCTTGGTTGACCGGGTTAAAATAAACTACTATTACATGAATTTATTCCTGTCTTTTTACTTCAACTGGCATATAACATAGGCAGTGATATTTTTATATAAAAAGGGCTGCTGGGAATACATGGATTATGAAGTAACGTAAATTAAACTAAAGACTTAGCATTGGGTTCTGTTTTGACAACCAAATATACATAAAGAGATGAAAATATTACTTAAAAGTAATTGTGACATAGAAGAGTTTTCTTTAGGATTTATAAGCAAAATACAGGTAATCCTCGACTTACAACAGTTTACTGACTGTGTGAAGATACAACGGCACAGAAAAAAGTGATTTATGACCATTTTTCACACACATGACCGTTGCAGCACAATCACATGATTTACATTTGGATGCTTGACAAATGATTCACATTTATGACGGTTGCAATGTCCTGGGTCATGTGATCACCTTTTGTGGCCTTCTGACAAACAAAATTAATAGGGAAACTAGATTCACGTAACACTGTCATTAACACCTGCAGTGATTCACTTATCAAATGTGGCAAGAAAAGTCATAAAATGAGACAAACTCACTTAACAAATGTTTCATTAGCAACATAAATTTTGAGCTCAATTGTGGTCGTAACTTGAGGACTACCTGTAACTTCCCCCCATAAAACCAGGGTGAATAAATATAGCTTTTAATAGGAAATTGTTTTATTCAGTGTAGGGATTAAGTCTTAAATTGTAGAAAGTTTTTAAAAATAAGAAAGTCCAGTAGCCTCCCGAAAGGTACCTTTGGAGCAACCATGACCTGGATGGCTCAGAATCTCCATACACATTTTAAAAAATGAGTTCTTTAGTAATCTGCCCAGACCTGTTCTGTGGCCTGGATAATTTAATATACTTAGAAATGTTACTAAACTATTTTAAAAAATAATGAAGTATGTAATAATATATAAGCAACTGAGTTGTATGAATGTGAAGGTTAACTGTTTTGATACTGTTGTACTTTGGGGATAACTGAATCAAATAGCTGTCTTAATAATGATTTAATATACACAGTGTACAGAGTAAGATATTACTTATACATTACCATATTAAAAATACCCATCATTTGCTCTTATATCAGCAGTATTTATATAGGGTGCATTCACACAACCAAACTAAGCCAAAATGTGATCTCCTTATTTGTGGCTTAGCTCAGTCATTGCTTAAAACTGGTTACTTAATAACCAGTTATTAATTATGAAGGCTTTGAAAAGTGTACTTTACACCCTGTAAAAGATTGTACAGATTATTGCAAAATGTCAACTGCCCACGCTATCACAAAATCATGATCTGGGTGCTTGGCAATGTATTCATACTTACGACTTTAACAAATGCCCCATGATCACATCACATGCAATATTTCCTGCTGGCCTCCCCAGAAAGTCAATGGAGAAGCTGGCAGGGAAGGTTGTGGGCTGCTGCAGCCTACCAAGAGGTTTCTGTCCTCTGTGGGGGCTGGATGAAAGAGGCCCCTGCCATTTTTTGTTTGCTTGGGTTTAAAGCAGCTGAAATTCAATCATACATGGAGCCCCAACTCCCTCTTCCCCACCCCTGCAGAGAGCTCTGCAAAGGTGGAGAGAGAAGGATGCTCGGCTCCATGCCTATTTGTACCTTGGCAGCTGAAATTCAAGCATGGACAGAACTCCCGAACCCTCCACAGGCATAGAGTCTCTGTTCATTTAACAGCCCATGGGATCACTTGATGACCACAATGCGGATTGCTGGATCATGGTCATTAAGTAAAGTAGTCAGGTGGATCATTTTGTTTAACAACCCCTTCATTCAATAACCAAGACTCCATTCCCAATTATAATTGTTAAAAAGAGGATTCCTTGAATTATATAAATAATGCTTTATGGGTTCACATATTTTGTGAATCTGGACAGTTTATTTAGTAAATTCTGTTTAAATAGTTTTTAGTTTGTATTATAACAACATATTCACCATGAATGTTTTGACTGCAAGAAAGGGGACAGAGATTTTTTTAAATCTTCTCTATCTCCTTTTTTGCATATTGGTAAAAAAATAACAGATTCCCCTCCACTGGAGCAAAAAGCAGTCTCAGGAGAAGGGACACACTGAAAACAGGAGAGGGAAGAAATACTATAAATTAACTTGCCTTTATATTGCTCTGCTTCACACTTCTGTGATCTCTCTTTCAAAAACTGATTCATTTTGTGCAGTCCAGTTAGATTTAAGATTAAGGGGGAAATAGTTGCAATATTCCCTCAAAGATTCTATATTCTAAGTAGCTGATGAAAAAGGTATCAAAAGATAAATATCAGCAAATGCAGCAATATGTATTTCAATTTCATTTCAGTATGCATGAGCATTATAAGGATAATAGTTTCATGAAAATATGAGATTAGAAAAAAAAAAGTAAGAGGAATAAGCTCTAACATAATACTGGCTTCCATTTTATTTCAGAGATGAAGGAAAACGTCATAAAAGAAGAAAGTAATACTTGCATTTCTATTACAAGAGATGTGGAGCCAAACCAAGTTGTAGCTGTTTAATTCCAGTAACATATCTGACAGCTAAGATGATAGCTACTTTAATAAATATCATTTGAAATCACTATCACACTGCCACCCAGAGTTATGTTACTTTGGATAGTGAAATGGACGACATAAAAATTTAATAAATAAAAAATATGTTGTTTAATTATTCACATAAACAATTACCACCCTTTAAATCAATTGTTGTTGGTTCTAATATTAAACTATTCTTAAGAAACATTTGTTTTAGTAACATTCATCAAAATATTCAGTCTTTGTTTTAACAAATATATTTTATTGTAAAAATAAAAAAAAAATTATTTATAATAAAAATAAATTTGTAGTACCGGTATAAATATCAAGCTGGCGAGCATATTCAACACATCCTCCTATTTTCACTGCAACAGCCCTGTGAGGTGCATTGGACTGAGAGAGAGTAAGTAGCCTAAAGTTACCGAGCTGGTTTTCATGGCTAAAGTGGGATTTGAACTCCCACTTTCTAGCCTGGTGCCACTAGACCAAACTGAATTATTTTGACAGTGCCAACAAACATATGATGTTCAGTGTTACCATGATTTTGCAGATAATGAATTGACACCATATGTATGTATATCCAGACATCAGAAAATAAAAATAATGGACAGCTGTAGACCATCATTTTTCATTTATATGATTGTTGCCCAGATATTATATATAAGGGTCTCAATTACAGAAGGAGAAATCTAGAAGATACTTATTAAATTCAGAGTCTGGAAGGAGCCCTGGGAGAACTGCACACTTGATACTACATTACTTACGATGGTCTCTTCACTGAATGGATGGCATAGCCAGGTTGACTCTGGAAATAGAAATCTCCATTCAATTATCTGCTTACTGATTAGATTTTCTACTCTAAATACTGCTTGTTGAAGGAGTAATTAATATTCATAAAATACCATGATCTGACTTCAGACAATTAGGTAGTACACATTTTATTGGTAGTTCACAAACTGAAAAGCACATTAGAGATTACATTAATGAAAACTCTAATTTTTTTACACTATTCAACATGACATTGTGCTATGTACTAAAAATTTGTTACTCTCAAATATTCCTGTTTTAAGGCATCAATTTTACAGTGGAGAAATCTGCGGTGCCAACCATATAGTCCTTCCGTGCCCTAAATGAGAAAATTATTTTTCATTACTACTATTGAAGGAACTAACAATATGTGTCAAATCCGTCTCACCCCACAAGCTTGCAATTTATACATGAATTTATACATGAATTCTAAATTTCTTTTGTTAAAAAAAATACATTTCTATCATACAAGATAGACCTCCAATCTTAGCTTAACTTGTTTTCCAACATCTATAACATCTAGGTGTCCAAATGAGGCAGGAAAACAAAGATAAAAGGGGAAGCTAGTAATAAGATCCTGTCTATTTTTTTAAATAAGGTACATCATAAAAGGTAAGTTGTATTGACACATCGAGCATTTACAAAACATTTAAATTACATTTAAGGTGGATAAAAGCATGGTTTTGCTCCTCTAATCAATACATATAGAATAAATATTACATAAGAATTCTAAAATATCATTTTGTATTAAAGACCTGTTATCTGCTCAGTCCAAAATAGTTTATCAGAATAGTTTATCAGAATGGCCAAATTTTGTTAAACTCTATGCAGAATTAGGCAAACTCTAATTACCCACTGATAACCCATCAGTAATCATGATACATTATTTTGTCTTTTTATTTTTTATTATTACTTTTAATGCTTTTATTTGCAATGCTGGTCTGTGACCATAATAAAAATTGATTGCTAGTTAGACTTAGAACAGGCCAGCACAATATTCAGCCCACCAATGTTTTCCAACAAAGTAAACTACCATCTCAAAAACATGCTGCTCAGGACATCCAAGCTTTGTTACTGGTTTGCACAACTCCACAATTTTAGTAGCCATAGAATAGCTGCTGGCACTCTTAAGCATTTCTTTGTGGCCCACAAGGATTTTTCATTTTATCAATGTGGGCGTTTTCCCATCAACAAATTGGGCAGACCTGACCTACATCAAGCTAATAATTTTCTTCCTTTGGCACACTATTCTCCCTAGTTTTACCTTTCACCTTCAACCATGAAGGTTTTACATCTGTATATAAACACAAAGTTTAAAAATTATACTATGAAATTGGTTTGCAATCATAGTTAAAGATAATAATATAGAGAGGCATACTAATTTGTGCTGTGAAGGGAAAGTGAAAATGTATTTGAACATTGCATAGCTTATAAAGCAGGAAACACTGCACCATATTGGATTTCCTTTCTCTATTCTAGGGCCCTTTGGAGATGTAAGAAAGAAGAATTAGTGGAACACTTTGACAAACTGATATAGACTTCGAGGTCTCTTCTCATGATCAAAAGGTTCTGGGCATTTGGAGTGAAGCAAGAGGAGATAAAAAGCTGCTGTTCAATTGGCTGCAGGGAAGGGAGGGCACAAGATTCATATACCCATTAATACTTACGCTTGTTCTTTAAGAGACTTGAGAAAAGACTCCGATACTTCCTCTGTTACTTCATCATCTAAGCTAGCCAAGTAGGTGTAGAGAAAGTGAAAAGTAACATATGGAATACGTGCTGGTCCACCCTCTGGATCATGCGTCAGAATTTCACACGCATGCTTCATCGAACTGAGCAGGGTCTAAGAAAAGCCAAAACAAACAAACAAGTATACATTAGAACACAAGGCAAGTACTAAGATTCACTTGTAGCTACTCTAATACTGGATTTAATTAGACTAATAGCTTCTCTTTCCACAGAAATGTAGAAGAAAAGTAAAACACCACCAGCAAATGTGGAAAGGTAGCACAGTTCTTTATAAATATGCATGGAATGAAACCTGCATTTATTTCAGTTTTCATCCCTGGTGCATTCATAAAATAAAATGAATTGTGAAAGACTATACAAAATACCCAGAAATACCAGTTCAAACAATATGCAGTTCTTAGTGAAAAGCATGCAAATCATCCAGAGGTTTTAATGCATTATGATTGCACGTATGTCTAGTGAGGGGAAACCAGAAGTGTTGGCAATCTCATCATGGCTATAGCATAAAATGGCACATATAACACTCTTGGCCTTTTTATATTAATTAGCACTAATAAAGTGGGTTTCTATTAATTCCTCTCAATTGTGAAATTTAAGGAATTTGGATTAATATATTGCAGCTTAAATAATAAAAAACCCTTGTATAGGTATTCCTTGACTTCCAACCATACTGGAGTCTACCTATCATAGTCATAAGTCATGATGGGCTAAAATGAGTTGGTCATGTGACTGAATCAATTTCCCAACCTTTTTTGCGATGGTTAAGTGAATGCTATAGTTAAGTGAATATCACAGTTGTTAAGTGACTCAATAGTTCGCTATGGCTGTAGTTTTGCCAAAAACTGGACAGACCAACAAAACTCATAAAATGTAGTCATGTGACTACAGGACGCTGCAAAGAGCATAAATGAAGCTGTGCTGCCGAGCTCCCCAAGTTCAGTCCTGTGACCTGGGAGGAGCTTCCAATGTAACTTTGAATCAGGGTTGTAGGTAGCCCCAAGGTAGGTCCATCATAACCTTGAACAATTGCTAAATGTGATTTCCAAACAGAAACAACATTAAATATATTCTCTTCTTTGGATAAAGGAATCAATTTAACCATCTCTGCTTTCATTGCTATGGGGAATAGTATATACTTTCGGATTTTGTGCTTACAGTGAAAAAAAAAGAAACTTTGATTTTGTTTTTGCTGATTAGATAGGTTTGTTGTTATAAAAATGATTAGTATGTACTATTGTGTAAAAGTAAAAAGTTGAGGTAATGTTATTATATTCTACTGTCCTAAAGAGAGTTGGAAGTCAATGCCTTTTTCTTTCTTTTTCAATTTCTACCACGTATTTTCTTCCTTCCTTTCTCCTTCCCAGTTTTCTATTACTTTTTATTTTCCTTTCTATTTTATATTTTGATAAACCAATAAAAATGTGACAAAAAGAATAGTCATTAAACACAACTGACACTCTGAAGAATTAAAATTTAAATGTTGAAATAATTCTATAAGTGCATTTTCCAGTTTTTAAAAAAGTTGAATTATCAAAACAAAGGGTTACATAAATTTAAAACTTTTTAAAAATCTTATCTACATATGTATGTGTGTGTTTATATTTACGTGCACTCAAATGTCCATAATGCACTAATGATTTTCTATGTTTTAAATTATGCAGTCTAATTAGATCCTATTAATATTGTATATGTATCATGGGTTCTATCTTCTGATCCTCAAACTGTTTTTAAATTTTTTCTCATAGTTATTTCTTTTCCTTATACATTTAACCAAAATTAAAATTAAAAAAATTATATTTAAACGCCTGTATTATTCATTTCAGTAGAACAACAATTCTATATAAGAAAGACTTTTATATCTTACATACCCCACCAAGAGCACTACAGCAAAGGGCAAAAAATTTCATCCATTCTACTCCATCTGCAAAGGTATCTAAATGAAGAAGATTGCGCAGTTGTTCTGCTGGTAAGCACAAAGTCTTCCACTTTTTATGGAGATCTATTAAATCCACAGTCTTCTTTTGATATAACTGTAAAAGCATATACATCATAAAGAAAATATAAGAAAACAAAATAGGAAATTAACTGTTAATTAGCTAGTTCAAAAACTAGTTACTACCAGGCAGACATGATTATCTGCCTCCTGGTCACAAAAAACCGTGGCCCATATGGAAATTGCCAAATGGACTGTGCACTAGGGTAGCAAGATCAAAGGACAATCTAAGAAAAAGGAATTTCCCTACAGAAGATTACTGTGTGTGAACACAGGCAAGAACAATCTAGCATATAACGACATACAAGCCACTCAACATGTACAGAGGAAGACCTCATCTGGCAAGAAAAAATGCTGTCAATGTGACCTGATATAGGTGAATGTCATTTAGTTTTAATTATATTTATTTTACATACTTTTTCACATGTGCTATATTTATGTGACTTATTTTATATTTATTTTACTTACTCAGTGTTGAATGTTATATGTCTATAATTTGAGGGTGTTTTTGCATGAATAAAGAACAGCTAGTTCAAAGAAGAGTCATTTTAGGTAGTATATATCATTTAAAAATCTATAGTGTCATTGTAGATTTCAGCTGTTTAAAAAAATATTTTACCTGTTTATGCAAAACTTTAAGGAGGCCAGGGGTCAAACCAGTATCATTTTTCTGTGTGGCAATTGGCATTTCAACACGTTCTTTTACAGGAAGAGGCTCTCCTCTTGACAAAGCATAGAAGTACCTATCATAGTGCCATACCAAATACCAAAAGACAGTTCAAGTTAAAAAACGATGAAGCTAATGTATAAAGTTTTCAAAATCAATACTACAGCTTACACTAAGTGAGAGAAAAGTGTATTTCCTTTTACTCCCTTTGGCTAGAGTGTGACAGGGATTGATCAACTCTTGCTCTCTCAAACAGATTTCTGTTTAAGTGGATATATTTCCAAATAAAATAAAATAATGTAGATATCACCATCTCTAGGAATACTTCTGTGGGCTTAAAAGCATTTTTGAACACTCAGTATATCAGACTCCTTAAAATAATTTTTAAAGTTCGAAGCATATTTTAAAAAGTCAGGTGGGACAAGAGGCTAGTTGGGCACCTAAACAGTTGTTTGTGAACAGACTAATGATATTAGATGTCTGTGGTGACATGTGAACACTGACATAATTATTCTGAGCACAGACATACTTCTAAGTGTGTGTCTGTGAAGTCTTCTTAACGAAGACATTTAACGTTGGTTTTCTCCTTACCCATAAGACCACTGGAGAACATCACGTGGTTGAGTCCTGATAGCTGCTTTGGTAAATTGTTTCATAATATCTGGCAGTTCAGGTGGAACATGAATCTGCTGTGCACAGAACATAACATCTGGAACAGGCATGGTTATTCAAGGTCTCAAACTAGAATCCTATGAAAACTAAAAAGAACAATATTCATTAATTAATGTATTCTAAAATAAACTCAAGATGTATAAAGGCATAATATATGTTAATATCATTTTTACCACATACACATTCTTTATTACATACACTTCCTCTTAAGGAGTTGAAGGGACTACATATAAGACTATCCAATTTTATCTTCACAGGAACTTAATGACACCTCGTAACTTTGGATAGATTAAGAAATGATTTTTCCCAAGGTGCCCCAATAAGCTTATAATGCTAACAAAATTTACTTAATACACCACCTTTTATTATGCATGAACAATCTTTTTTTGTCCTTCTGATTATAGATTTGGTAGCCAACAAATAGTGATAGCAAAAACAATGCCAATTCATTTTCTAGTACAAAATTAACAACTATATTAGACTACATTCAAATTATGAAAGCAAACGTTTGCTTGCATCAAGGTATTGTTCCCTAACTTTTAGCCATTTGCACATATTCCAAATATTTCCAAGAGTGATCTTTCCAACTTTCAGATTACAGGATGGGAGGTGAAAAATAAATACAATCCACTATAAATAGGTGGTGTATGCTGTGGTGGATTTCATAATTTTAGAGTGGACTCCTTTTGCACTTGTTCCTCTGTCATGTATTATTTTGTATGTGTTCTAGTTCCTTTAGTCTATCTTCCCATAACTGGCACTGATTACTCTCTTTTTGTTAAAAATCAGGATTCTGGTAAACTTGTCTAGGCTAACAAATTATATTAAAAGGCATATGATTTTGTATGCCTCACTTCATTAGAAACAACTTATTCCTGCTAAGGGCAATAAACTCTCACTTCACTGTTGCTTAAATCTTAAAATCCTCTGGTGAATAGCCAAGCTTAAGTGCAACATGATCCAGAATTCCTTACGGAGATTCATCAACCTGAGATCTTTCATCAGTAAGATGGGATTGCCATACATCAGTAGATATCTGCACCAGCTAAGCTACACTGCTTTTTTTTTCCTTGACATTTTTTGTGATCTCTTCTGAAGCAACCAGCAGTTACAGTATTGTGTATAGTACTCAAAAAAATCTGCATGCTTATTTCAGTTCCATGTGAGTCAAACTCTCTCCCATTTGTTTTTTCCATACCACTATAAAATGTACCTTGAAAATAAATAAAACCTTGGAACGATGACTGCAATGTCAGATAAATCAGGTTTTAGATCTGTATTTCATGAAATCAGAATCCTTATATTACTGTAGAATAAACATAGATTTAGGTTCTGCATATTATTCAAATGATTCTCAGGACATTTAGCAAGAAATATATTGTTCTTAACAATACAATTTTCCAGGAATAATATCCAGAGCCAGAAATTAACATTTTTCTCTTCTGAGAGGTCATTGATGCTCTCTGAGCTTTCTTGCCTTCTTGCAGATATTTCTTGCATTACCTAGTTTGGGAAATGAAATGTCTGCAAGAAAACAACGAAGCTCAGACAGCACCATAGGACCCTCAGCTACAAACCTCTTTTATTGATTTTTCTCTTCTAATATATAATCCAAGTAACTACTTAGCTAGAGTACAATGTGTTACATACTGCTGTTAGTTTAATGCAAAACATAACACTCAGCAGAATAGATTTCAATATACAAAATACTAAAACTACAATTAGTGTTCATAGCAGCCTTCCACATCATCTTTGACCTACAATATATGCCTAGGAAACACACTTTCTCCAAGGTGCATGGGATGTGAGATTGATAGTCTTAACAGTGGTTCTTGAACATTTTGGTCTCAGGATTCCTTTATATTCTTTAAAAATGCTTGAGGATCCCAAATAGCTTGGATTTATGTGGATTTCTCAGGGATCCCCAGACCACACTTTGAGAATTATTGATCAACACATCTAGTTTAGAGAAAATATGATTCATAAAATGTAGTTGGTAGAAAATGCACTTTGTGGGACATTGTGTATGAGGAAAAGAAGCACCGTAGCCAAATAAAATGATTTGGGGCTCAATTACAGAAATACGAAAGGCCTTATATAGGGCTTCTTCTTGTGAAGAAGAACCTGTAATTATAGATAGATATTTGCAAATCCCACTCCCTTAAGCAATTCAGTTTTATTAAATACTGATGCATTCAGATACTTTTAGCTTATATTCATAAAGGTCTACTAGCTTTTACTTTTTAAAACATTTCTAGCCTTAAGACTCCCTTCTGTTAGTTTGGTGAATAAGATTAAGGCACGAAGTCCAGCCTTGACTGCATTACTGCTTAGGTTCTTTTAAACATATATTTTACAGTCCACCATACAGTATGCATAAAAAGTGTGATATACATTATATTCATAACTCATCACGGGGGTAGCACGTATAATTCTACTTCTCATATTTATATTCAATAAACGCGTTTTCAGCGGATGGTGTGATGTAACTTGCAGTAAGTATTCCGGCTGGACTGGAGTGAGGGAGTCTAGAGTTTAAAAACCCGCTCAGGTAGGAAGTTCACTTTTTTGGGGGGGAGGGTGTCAGTCATCCATACGTATACACCTTCTTTCTCTAGTTGCAACCTATCTCAGGATTGTTATTTCAAATAAAATACGATGCTAGAAGCGGGACATCATAAAAAGCTATCTTAACCTCTTTGTAGAAAAAGGAGCATAAATGTACCGTAGTGCAAATAAAGCAGTATCCCCCGCTAATATCCCTCCCCAAGCTTCAAACGGGACCCTTCGTCCCCTTCCTCCGGTTCAAGCGACTCTTCCTGCTCTAACGGCTAGAAGCTACGGAAAGGACGACTGCGAAAACTTCGTTCCTCGGCTGCCTCTCTCGAAAGGTCTGAACGCCTGTTAGGTTTCCATGGCAGCGCGCGCGTCTGTCTCGTAGCAACGACGCAAAGAATCGATAATGACAACCGAGAGCCGCCGTTGGTCCTCCTATTCCGCCGAATCTCTATGGTAAATTCTCTTTTCCCGCCTCCCGCATTGGCATTAACAGCTGTCGTGCTCTTTAGTTTCCTGCGCCGGCGTAGTTTTTTACATCCATCTCGGTAACGTGAGGCCGCACGATCCTTGATGACGTAGGCGTATGCTAAACACATCGCGCCCTCGAGCAGGCGCCGTTAAGGTTGCACAGCGCTGTCTTCGAAACTACTCATTATTTGAGGAGAAGCTTGTTAAACGATCTGGGATAAACATTAAACCGCACTTTTAAATGTTGTTTAATCTTTCATTTTAAAAAGGAGAGTGTAGATAGAAGTAATATACACGGTAAATTTTGCAAAAAGAGCCATAGCACACTTTTAAATATGACTTATTATATTATGTATTATATTTAAAAAAGGTTAAAATATTTATGCCAAAGATTGTACACCAACATATGGATACCAGATGTTGGATATTCTCTTTGGTTAAATAAAGGGCCACAACACAACACAGGTCGGAAAAGATTATTCTACTGGAAGTTAGAAAGCATTCCACTTAGATTTAATTCTCCAAAATGCTCAAAGAAGTAAATTGTACAGGAGATACTTTTCTCCTTCAGTGAAAAAAAAAACACCTCCATGCGGAAAAAGGGATGCACCTTTATATATGTCTTCTCTTAACAAACAGCAAAGCCTGCCTGAAAGGGAGATGTGCCTTGCATTAAAACATCCACTTCCAGACCTACAAAGAATTAGAAAAGGCTTAGAACTGCAACATTTGCCAAGCTGCGGGCCAAATAGCTATGCATATATGCAGCTACAGAAACTTAATATTCTACTAGAACAGGGGTTCCCAACCTGGGGTGCGAGACGATATTCCAGGGGATGCGAGAAAAGTCCAGGTAAATAATAGGATATTGGCTATATGTTGGCATTTTTATTTATTATGCAACTTTGTTTTCATTTTAGAGTTAAGTATCGTTATTTAGTGGCCGTCACATACATAGCTGAAAAGATTCAATCCTACCATATATTTAACGCGTTTAGTAGTACCTAAAGTCTAAATTTCAGGGGGTGCGAGGTTCAAGTGAAATTCCTTTAGGGGTGCGGGGCGAAAAAAAGGTTGGGAACCACTGTACTAGAACAATAAATATTTTAAGAACTTGATTACGAATGAAATGAAGTGTTAAGCACAATTGCTAATTTCCACCAACTTTGGACACATACAGATTTTCCAGTAATATGTACTTTCCTATGGCAGATTTAAACATATTTTGAAATTTAAACACAGCAGGCAGAATTCAGTATTTGGCACTGTGGTAGGATTTGTACATAAAAGCAATTTCCTGGATTTTAGGATCTAAAAGAAAGGCAGAAAAGTATACACACCAAATATAAAAAATGAAGTGAGCTGGAACAAACGTCTCCCTATGTTACATACAAAGGTCAGTTTGTATCACTGAAATAGAACACGGTATACAATTCATCTTTTGGGCAAACCAGGACATGTTAAATTAAACATTTGTACATTATTTTAAGTTAACAAATATACTTGAAGATGATCAGGTATAAAAGAATTGTAAGGCAAACTGTATTTATAATTAGTGTTAAAATAGCAGTAAAAAGAAAACAAGTACCAATACTTTTTCTTAACAAATTTTAATAATCATTGAACACCAGGTTGTCTGGGATAAAAACACAAATTACAAGTTACCGCATTTCTGCAAAATGCTACAGGAAGAAGCACAGCATTGCTGGCAATATCCTAGTGGAAAGACTGGATTGCTTTGTCTTTTTTTAAAAAACAAAGATATCAAGATCTAATTTTGTGCAACTGAAAGTTTGTCGCTAGAAATTGCTGTAATTGTGGGCAAACTATGTTCTTGCACAAAATACTGAAATTGTAGTATTTGCATTTCCAAAAGAAATAGATACAAAACTCACAAGTAAAATCTGTCTAAAGTACAGACAGTTAAAAGCAAGTGGGGGATTTTGGCTACCTTCTCATTACTATGTTTTTTTTTTAATGAGAGCAGTGTCAAAAAAATTTAACAGCATCAAAATAAAAAAGCATTAATCCTTATATTACTCATAATGCCAAAATAGAGGTAATGCTCAAATTGTCAGTAGTGGAGAAAAAGAGCACAACCCCATTTCTACTG